GACCTAATGCATGGAATAAGATAATCAGTAATGATATTAAAACACTTAAAACTCTTGATCAGTTTAAACAAAAACTAAAACTATTACTTTTAAATAATGAACAAACAGATAATTATTTTTAAAGCTATCTATAAAAATATTATATTTTAAAACTATCTACTAATGCATACTTTATTTGTCTGGAAGGTCTAAATTCTTTAATTTTATATAGGTATTACAGTCTGTTATATTATAAAAAAAGTACTTATAAAGATTTTTAGCATTTTTAGATTTCATTAGTTTAAATAAATTTATTAGTTTTCTTAAATAAGAGAGAGAGAGAGGAAAAATAAAAAAAGTAATCTTTTTTGAGTTTTAATTTTTTATATTAATATTTTGTAATTTGTTTTTGAGGAATTAATATATTACACTTTATAAGAACAGATTGTAAATTAAATTTTACGTTTACTTTTTACATGTTTTTTAGTTTTTTGATATTTTTGTTTTTCTGAATGAACTTTTAAATTTTTCTTTCAAAAAATAAAATCGAAAAAATATCTTTCAAAACTTTGAACTATTAAACTATTTGGCATTTTATATAAACTTCTTTGTAATATTTTGCTTTTTTCTTAATTTTTTTGATTTTCATTTTAGTTACCATGTATTTATATAAATGTCTTGACAAACAAGGGACTTGGTGATAAAACAACCCCGTCTTCTTCTCGTCCTTGCCATTTTTAAATATTTTAAATTACGGAACTTGTAAATATTTGTACGGCTAAATTATAAAAAAAAAAAAAAAAAAAAAAAAAGCTTGAGTTTCTGATTTTGTCTTTATTTTATTTCTTTTCCTGCAAGCAACAATCTTGGGGTTGAACCGCGGTTTTCTTATAAATATTTTAAGAATTATTATAATATATTATAAATATTTTTTTACTCTAAAAAACAAAGAATGTACATCCTAGGTTAGGAGTAAAGATTATGAGGACAAAAAGATACATGGGATGATCAGTTTACCATTTCATGGTTTTACGAGGTTTGTCTAAACTCTCCGTTCCTGGCTATTTTCGTTTGCTCGTGATTAAAAATTTCAACTGAGCAATTCAGTATTTAAAAGGCAAACCTTGTAGGATAACAGAGCTGGGCATCGTTAGTAAATATTTGAAAGCGCTACCGCTACCTTCCGCTTCTTTAGGAACTAAAAATCATTACCGCTCTTCCGCTACTGTTTCAAACTTTAAAATTAGTAGCGCTAGTTCGCTTCCATTCCGCAACCAAAAAAAAAATTAATATCCCCTCTCTCCCACGTCGAGTTTGTCATATCCATATGGGATAATAAAAAATGACAATTTTTTTATTGTAATACACTTTTAAATGTCTTACAAAGAACTTACGGGAAATAATTTATTTTTCTTGACCATTATTCGCGAAGTCAACGTGTTGTTTAAATTGATAAACTAATGAAAAATTAGTTATAATTCAATTTTTAAGTAAAACAAAAAATAATCAAATCTATTTATCTATTCATCTTAAAGAAGTTTTTTATTTAAAAGCTTTATGTTCCCCTTTATAAAAACAAGCTGTTCATAATATAAGCTGTTCATAATAAAAAACAAGAATAAGAGCTGAGTGGTGACCTCTTGGATCTGAGAAAATCAAACGCATTGCTAAAGAGCCTTTTAACGGATGCTGATGACAGTAGTGCCGTGTTGTACTTGAGAAACACGTCTACTCTTTGAATTCAAAAGGGAACATATCATGCAATAACTTGTTTTTTAGCAGACACCTTGATTCCTTAATTTTGGACCACTTTATCTCCTCTTCATTCACTTTATATATTTTAAGTTAATTTGTAGCTCATTTAGCTGCAACATATAATAAAAAACTAATTTTTTTAATCAACTTAATTTACAAGTTAAAGACTTTTAAGGAAATATATTTTTATAATACTTTATTGAATTTAAATGTAATTAGTGTTGTTAATTATGTATTTGTAAATTGTAACTTACATCAATGTCACTAGCATCCGGCAAATTATTTATTTATTTGCTGTTAATTAATCGCAAAAGGTTTTTAATTATACAACTTTTTATTCATTTATTGTATTGTTTACCGTGCTATATTCATGGCAGAAGTAGCTGACAACTAGCAGCTTGTAATAAGAATGCACATAAATTGCCATCAACAGGTGTTTGTCTTTAAAAAGATGACCGAATCTAAAAAAAAGTAAAACTTTTAATCAGATAAGAGATGAATTCATCTTATATTATTTATATCTATTATTTAGACTTTATTTGGTTCGCGTACCTTTTTTTAAGACCAATTAGGAAAATTAAAAGTTGGTTTTATTTATAATTGAACAACTCATCAATCTAAGCTGGGGGAGTAGGCATCCCATGTAAGCATCATTATGTGCTTGTAATCTGTCAAGGTAGACAGCTAAGGGAATTGTTACTTTTACATACTCACTCCAAGCCTCTTTGTTTTCATTTGTAATCATTGGCAGGGTGTGGGGTTGCTGTCGCCGGAAAATATAGTTAAGTTTCTTTAGCTTAATTTCTTCAGACATCTTAATAAAAGTATTTAAATATTGATTTTGCAAAAGAATAAAAATACCGTTCAAATATAAACATTGTAAAAAATTTAGATAAAAAAGATATAAAAAATTTATACATTCACTAAAAAAATATTTAAACGCGTCATCGCAGGAGTTTCATCTGGTGATCCCTGGTGTTGCTAAATTTCTCTTCAAGGCAGCCTTTATGTCATTTGGTATTAAGGTCCACCTATTGCGAGCGTTCTGAACCTGGGCTTTTGCAGCGAGTTTTAAAAACAATGTCCCGGGATTTGTTGTCCAGCCTAGTTTTCCTGGGTGTCCTTACAAGCCAGCAAGTTTATTGTGTGAGCTGCACAACGGTGGTGCAACATAATTTTGCTTATTCAAAATTTATGTGAGATGCTCTTTGACCTTTTCCTCTATACGATAGCTATCCGCCATCAGCTTTTTCCTAGAAGGAACCTAGAAAGTAGAGCAAATATGTTCCAGAAACGTAATACCTTTAAATTTTTCTACAGATTCGGGTACATGTCTAAGATGAATGACCTGAAAATCAATTTAAAAAATTACCAATATAAGACTTAAATCAGTATTTTGAATCATGTTCATGTAATTTATGTTGATAAAAAGTTTACTTTATCTACCTGTAGTATACATCTAGGGCCTCTTTCTGATTAAATTTGGATGTACAAATATATACACTAATCTGCCTCTTTTTGGTATCTGGTTCTTTCCTGTCTTTTCAAGAGTTTGTCTTGCTTCTCTTGTTACCAGAAGCCAAAGCAGCCAAAAAGTTTGCCTCAAATGCCTCAAATCTTTTATTATAATGCTTCTTCTGATTGAAGTGATTTTTTTTAACACCTGAAATTAACGTTAATTGGACTTAAAATTTAACATTTTTTATAATTTAACTTATTTTTCATGTACCCATATCTATAAATACATTTTAAATTGTAAATAAATTTAATTCTTTTATCAAATAAAGAGTCCACGTGTAGCGGAGCTGCGGAATATCGGACTAAGTTGCGCTACCACCCAGTTCTGAGTTTTAAGCGATATTGCAATACTAAGTTAATAATTTAGTTGCGTTCCTTTTTTCTAAGAGGAATTATTTTTGAAAATTCATTACTCTTATTCTTAGCAAATAAGGCAGAGCTGCCTTATTTGTTGCGGCAACTGCCGCGTAATCCATTATTTCATTTGAGTTACTACTTCATTTTAAGGTTTTGCATAGTTTTTAAGGGTAATCTACTAGTATACACTAATCGAAAATAAAGTTATTTAACTATCTTTATTATAGTTATATATAAATAGCAATAATTAATATAATTTAAAATATTAAAATGCATAGTATTTTTGTTGAGAAATTAAAATTGCAAATGTCTTTTTTCTATTGGTACCCTAGGTCAATACTTACTAGGGTTAAAACACAATAATATTTAAACCTAGGAGAGTTCAAGTATTATTTAAATTGTTAAAGTCTCATAAATGCAGCAAAACGCTTTATTAAAATATAATCAAATTATCAATGTTTTATTTTATGTCGCATACTGTGAGTTGAATATTATTCATTCCTAAACTATATTCTTTCTCAGTCTCAGTCAGATAACAACTTTTTAATTAATTGTTAATGATTTTAATTTTTTATTCGACTTTAATATATTTCTATGGTTTTAATTTACAACAAGTTATCTCTGTATTAGAATGATTTTAAGTGTCGTCAATGGAATTAAAAACAAATGGAATATTATAAGAAATAAAAATGGTATAATAATATTAAAAAGTTTTTCCTTTAATAATCGATGATGAATTGATAGAAATCGATGATGAATTGATAGAAATCGAGAACGACTACAGATTTTACTACTATTTAAAGTTTTATTAAAAAGATTTTTTTTCATAAGTTAATTTTAATGCTGTTAGTTCCTTATCCTTAATAATTTAATTTCAGAAGCCGTAGAGGTTATACACTGGCAAAATATAAGATATATGATAATATACATAAGATGCGAGGCTTAAATTTATAGTATTCAAACTTTAAAAACTTAGTAAATTTTGGGATACATTTTTTAATGAATTATCTGATTCAAAACAGTGCTTTTTGTATTTTTTGGTTAAACTAAATAAGTTTTATTTATACGTTTTATACAATTTTTTTAATACAATTTCGATACGTTTTATTGCAAAAAAATATAAACTCATGACTGCCAATTTCTATTGTTTTAAAAGATAAAACTTAAACTGCGGTTTGGCCAATGTAGATCATTAAAGGCATGTCCGTTAGCGAGTCAATGTCAGTACTTTAAAGAAAAAACAGTGGTGGATAGCTGCTAACAATTCTTTTTACCACCGCTGACTTCAATGATAGGGAGTTAGAGCCTGGTCACTTATGGCACACGCCATAAAAAATGGTACACTGCATAAATTTGTAACAATATAAAGTATATTATCTTAAAATGATTATTTTATTTTAAATTTTGTGCAGGTTTAACAAAAATGAATAAAAAAATGTCACTTGTCTCTTTGTTTTTTATGACTTTCTTAACATATTTAACAGCGGAGTTTATTTATCCAGAAAGAAAGTTATCATCTCGATATTCATTCACAATTTTTCAAGATAGACAAGTAACGTATAGAACAAACTTTGTGGAAACACACAGGGATTACAAAGATTGTATTGCAGTTTGCTATAACAATTTTGATAGATGTAAATCCATAGATATCCAAATTGTGAGTAATTCAACTTTTGTGTGTCAATTTTTTAACAACGATTCTCCACCTACTCAGTTAGCAGTAGGAAATCTCTTTGTTTCTACAAAACCAGTAAGTTATTTTTTTAATAATATGTCAATGTTATAAAAATTTTTGCTTTCTGAATCCAATATATTATGTACTATATATTAGAGTATATAAATATGTAGACCACACGGGTAAAACCACAAATGTCACATTTTTCTCATTTTGAGAAAAATGAAATTTAGTGTTTAATGATATTAGATATCTGTTTAATAATAACATATTTAATCAAAAGTGTATTTTTATGACATTTTAATCCTAACACAATATATAAATGCAGTTTTTGTGCTAATACAAGAGTTATTTATTCACAGTTTTCTTTTGAAAATAAGACACTCATTTGCGACATTTATTGTTTATTCGTTGTAAATTCATCAACTCATAAACCACGTTAGGCTGAAACCTTTTAGAGCACTTAATTTTTTAAAGGTAGATGGAACACATTGTAATATACAACCACACAGTACTAGTTGTGGGATAACAATTTACATAAGTTGCAAATCAATTTAATATCCTTTACATTTGAGAAAACTGATAATTTAAAACCATGCAGCATAGAGCATACATCATAGCATAAACCACCTGTTTCCAACAGTTTCAGCTTAGCAATAAAAATATAATTTTTGAGTTAAAAGTAAATTTGTGTTTAAAAAATAAAACAGCAGTTGCCAGGAATAGTTTACATATTGGTTTCAAACGTTTAGGCAATTTTTTTTTTTGAGAAATTCAAGCAAATTACTTCACAATTAAAAGCGTTGGAAGACATCTAGCTCTTTTCCTCTAATAAAACATTAAGCTTTTCTCTGATGGAGCTGGAGCCATACATCCAGAAGATCCTTTTTTTGTAATATATTGTTAGTAGTATCAAAATCAGAGTATCATTGAATCAATTTTTTACTTTATTAGGAAAATAAAAGTTGAAACAATTGAAGAGAAAACTTATTTCATATATATATATATATATATATATATATATATATATATATATATATATATATATATATATATATATATATATATATATATATATATATATATATATATATATATATATATATATATATATATATATATATATATATATATATATATATATATTCATACATTTAAACAATTTTAAAAATGTTTTCTACAAAATAGAGTAATCAATGTTCTTAAAAGAACAGAGCAATTAAAAATTAGTAGGAAATCACTTAACAAAAATTTTATATATATATACATAATATATATATATATATATATATATATATATATATATATATATATATATATATATATATATATATATATATATATAAATATATATATATATACATATATATATATATATATATATATATATATATATATATATATATATATATATATATATATATATATATATATATATATATATATATATATATATATATATATATATATATATATATATATATATATATATATATATATATATATATATGAAATAAGTTTTCTCTTCAATTGTTTCAACTTTTATTTAAAAGTATAAAGTTCGTGCAGTTTTTCCTAATTCCTATTTACTAACAAAAGTATTATAAGATAATGGTTGTGGTAGGGAGATAACTTTGTTTATAAATCGAAACTTGTTTCAAGGAGAATCAATCAATGTGTTTCATAAGCTTTATTAGTGCGATTTAAATTTAAAATTCTTAAGTTGAGTATGGCTGTGTCAAATGCGATAATTCGCGTTTGTTTACTTTATGAGTTTAAACTTGGCACCAAAGCTGCAGAAGCTTGTCGTAAGATATGCGCTGCTTTTGGGGAAGGTACCATAGCAGAACGGACGGGTCAAAAGTGGTTCAAAAAATTTTCTTCTTGAAATGAAAACCTTGAAGATGAACCAAGATCTGGAAGACCACCCACCGTCAACAACAAGGATATCAAGTTGGCAATCGGGCAGGACTCCAGCCAAACACATCAAAATCTTGTCTTAAAATTTAATGTGAGTGATGAAACTATTCGTTCACATTTGCACCAACTTGGAAAACGTTAGAAGTTGAGCAAATGGGTACCTTATGAATTGAGTGAAACAAACAAGCTACAGTGCTTAACCATCTGTTCTTCATTGCTTTCCTGCCACAATTTAGTGCCATTTTTTGACCGGATGTTGACGTGCGACAAAAATGGATTATGTACTGCAACAAAAAACGAACATATCACTGGTTAGCCAGTAGAGATCCAGTACCGATGACTCCTAAACCACGTATTCACCAACAAAAGGTTTTACTGTGTGTATGGTGGACTACAGCAGGTATCGTTCACTATGAGTTGCTTCCAAGTCAACAAACCATTAGTGCTGAGATATACTCAGCCCAATTAGACAGAGTTTCGGTTTCTCTTTACCAAAAACAAGCAGCTTTGGCAAACAGAATATAACGCGGGAAACTCTAGCACGTTTACAATTGGAGATTCTACCTCACCCTCCGTATTCACCAGACCTTGCCCTAAGCTACTATCACCTGTTTTTGGCCCAGGATAATCATTTGAGGAATTGACAGTTTCAAAAAAACTTTTATAAAAATGGAATATACAAGCTTGTTTCACGATGAGAGAAAATCATTCTTATTGAAGGAAATTATTTTTCAGAATAAATTTACTAAAACCGTTTTTTTGTGTATTTTTTTATGGACCTGCAAAACCGCACGACCTTTATTGGTTACCTGATAATTTCAAAAAGTGGACACCTGTGGTTTTACCCGTGTATATATATATTTATATATATATATATATATATATATATATATATATATATATGTATGTATATATATATATATATATATATATATATATATATATATATATATATATATATATATATATATATATATATATATATATATATATATATATATATACATTGTTTGTTAAGAATCAGGCAGTCAGTCGAAGTGAATCTCTCCAAACTGCTTGAATTTTTTATTTATAGATCAGTATATAGATAAAACAGGTCGGGAAAAAATAGTTTTCAAAAATATTTCGTTTACTCGAAATCCTGGTTTAAAATTTTGAAATTTTTTGAAAAATTTTCAGAAATTAAGTTTTTGCCACCTTTGAATCCATTTTTTTGGTAGACAAGAAGTTGCACATACCTTTTTAGCTAATATCAGACCTAACCCAAAAAGTTTCTCTGAAAAATATTAAAAAGCTGCGTGACACTGTGCGGTTAACAAATTACCATAGTTTAAAAGTACAAAAACATTCAGTTTTGTCAATTTTTAGTGGGAGTTATTTCTAATGGCGAAAAGTTGCACACAATTTTTCTTGCAGGGTTTGTAAATATTTAAGGTATTGAGTCTGAAAATGAAAAGAAAGTTATGTGATACCTAAGGCCTATTGATATATTAAGGCTTGAAATTTAAAAAAAATGTTATAGTATACTTACAAAATGACTCATTACGGCAGAGGCGCTAAGTTTCTTTAGTTACAATTAAAGAAAAAAAATGTTAAAATTTATCGAAAAATGATTTGATATGAAGAGATATTTTTTTGAACGCACAGATGAGAAATTCGGATCGGTTTTTGCTAGGCAGCGCAATAAAATTTCTATCTTTCTAAGTTAGCCTTTAGCATTGCAGAAAAAATTGCACGTAATGTTAGGAAAAAATTTAAACGTTTCTGACTATGATAGAGAAATCATAAAAAATAAAAATTGAAATAAATAATAATAAATTAAACATATATTATACATAATAGATAAATACAACAAACGATCAGAAGAGACTTAGTTAAACCTACGTCATAAACAAATAACTTGGTTGAACCGAACGAAGAATCTCCAATATCACAATTATGGAAAAAACTAGTCATGAAGCAATTTTTTTTATCATCATAATGTCTTAATTTCATTTTAACAGTCTTTAAAATTTGCATAATTAAAGTAGATATTTTGTTGTTGTTATTATTATATTATTATTGTTATTGAGAAAAGAAGTTGCATAAGTAGAACTTGTTTTTATTTGAGTATGAAACAAATAAAAAACTTTTTATAAAAACTGTTGTTACTTTTCCAAAGGAAATTGTGGATCATTCACAAAACATAAAATCATAAACAATATCTTCAGCATTCATCAGTTGGGAGATGCTGATGTCAAGAAACACCTCATCACCCAAAAGATATTTAAATGTACGCGGACTGTAATACAATTTTTTTAATTACGTACTTTATAACTACTCTGCAGCAAGATTTTGAGACAAAGATCTTTGAACAAAAAGAAATGGCTCTTTTAATTAATTCCCTATAAATAATCACTAAATTAATAACACTTTTGCAATATTCTACATTAACAATCACAACTATATATTTCAAACTTGTGAACATTTTTTGTAAATAGTAAGAATCAGATTTTAAACAATACTTTGAATGACACACCTAATAATTAAAAAATGTTTTTAGGTCATGCCATCCAACGATAATAATATTTAGAAGGGAATGGGCTTATTGCAAATATATTTTAAAAAAGTCTTGAAAAGGATGAACAAAAATGTGCTTTTCACCTGTGTATCTTTGGTTTTTATCTAAAGTCGATGAAAATACCAATCTATGTACAGAAACACAAACACAAAAAGAACAAACATATATGATACATGCTACTCCAGAGAAAGAACTGGACTCCGGTAAAATTAATGTTTCACAAGAGAATCTCTTAGAAGCCATGAGAGTGTAACTAAAGTTCTTTATGCAAGTCCAATAAAATATAGATTAAAAAGGAAGTTCGAATATCTGGAAGGTACTACTAAAGATTAGTTAAAACGCAAGTATCTTTGCTCACAAAACTTTTTCTTTAAAATTTGCGTAAATAGAATAGATATTTTATTGTTATTATTATTATATAATTTTATCATTATTATTATTATTATTATTATTATTATTCGCGCTCAGAAAATATATAAACAAAGTGATTCCATGAAAAAGTTAGTTATCCTCTCATTATTACACCATACTAAGTATATCAAAAAGGTTATAATACATTTGAATGAACCAAACAACGTATTAATATAGCAAGAAAATGGCATGCATCTAATGAAGGGTTGGCATTTCCAGAGAAGAACGGGTTTGTTCAATCTAGTCTTAATCAAACAAAGTTTATCATTGGTATATTAAATGATTGCTTATTGAATAACCGAATTGAAATACAACAGCTGTTAAGAGCAAACGGTAGCGCATGCAATGCTGACGACATAATTTAGCAACGCTATCATGCTATATCGAAAAATTTGTAGTGAAAATAATTTTGTACCATTTTTCAATTCAAATTTGTGGAAAGTTTTGCATGCAATAAAACCGTCAAATTGAAAAAGCTTAGCCAGATTAGTCACTGCTTTAGATATAAATGGTTTTCAAACATTACAAAAATTGGCACAAAGGTTTAATTCTTAATCTCTTGAAGCTGCCCTTAAGAAAGGAAAAAAGATATCAAAAAACATGTTATCAAACCAATTGTAGTCTCAATGACTTAAAAATTTCTTTTCATAGCTCAAAGTTTTATCACTTTATCAGTTTTAAAACTTTATCAATTTTAAAACTTTATCAGATCCATCTGAAAAAAATCTTCAATCCAACACAGATCGGAAGTGCCAATTGTTATGATTTGTGCAAAGCTATCGATGGTAATCAAAGAGCTAGCAATTCAAAATACTCAAGATGCTGATTCTACTTATGATATAGAAATTGCTGTAAATAATGAATTTAACTACATTAAACATTTGATAAGAGATTCTCAACAGAAAAAGGCAAAAATTTAAGCTATTAAACAACTCAACAATGAAACTGCTTTCTGTTTTGAAGAATTTTGTCAAAAAATTCTTCCGGTTTGATACAGAGAGCGCCAAAGAGACTATTTAGGCAAAAAAAAAGAATGGGTTTTAAATGTGGATATATTCTTCATTAAAATAACAGAAAAAGAAAAGTTAGAAAGTTATTCAAGCGTGTTTACTTTATTTCAATGTATAGATGTGATCATAGAATAAGTAATGTTGTTTTGTTAGCCATTGCTGTTCCAGACCAATTCAGAATTGATCAGAAGATGTTTAGCAATCTGATAACGCCGGCTACTGTCAGGGAAATCTTTCAGCTGAAGCAATGTACAATGTATGGAAAGAGAGAGATATAAATTTGGTGTGATATGTTTATATGATCATATTGTGGAAAAGATCGATGTGACAGGGATAGTACAGTTGCAAAGACAATTTTAAAGAGCTAGACTGATTCTGGTTGAATTGAATCTTTTGATTTGCTGAAGGTATACACAAGGCATTACAGTTTTTGCGCTAAAGATATAAAAGTTGCTCAAATTAGCAATGATAAAATTGTAGTTACTGGACCAAAAATTAAGAATATTACCAACTATTAGTCATTTGAATTTTGTGAAAAAAGTATGAAGATGTGGCGTTATTTCGATATTGATAAGGGAATTCAACAATAATATCGAAATCTTAAAATTCAACACTTGATTAAGTTGTTGTTGCAATATAGCAAAACAGATAATTCAATTAAGCAAAACAAGTGAAGAAAAACAGAAAAGAAGTGACAAACAATTATGTTCATTTAAATTGTGCACTGCAATAAATTGATCTTATCATTGGAAAGCGATGCTGAGTTAGAAGAACACATGCAATCCTGTATTCATACAAATCCGAAATCATTAACATCATTGAATAAATTTTGCAGCTTATTTGTTCATGAGATAAAAATTACTTCACAACTAAATATGCCGATTTTTTGATTCTCAGACAATGTTTCAGACAAGCTACCATATTGCAAAAGATTTTTATATTGCAAGGTTGGGTATTACCAGTTAGAAGTTCTTTTAGATTTTCAAATCAACATAAAGCACTGTTGTATAATTAATTTGTTTGTGGATAAGAATCAGGTAACAAAATGAGACCTGAACAGGTGTACATGCAGCTTAGAAGGGAACTTTTGCCTGATCAATATTTAACTAGCCAATAGATAAAATCTTTATTTTCAAGGTAGGCATTGTTGCTATTAAAAATTTTACAAATTAAATTATGTTTCCGAAGATTAAATAGTTCTTTTGAAAATATGAAATTAAAATTTCAGTAAAAACTGCAATTTGTTGTTTTATTTACATATCGTTAAAAAGATGTACAACTGATATTGTTATAGATTTAGTAACCTAAAAAGAAATAGTATGCTGGTGAAACCAACAACAGAAAAATGATGAAAATAGTCAGATTAACAATAACAAAGAAGTTTATGGCAAAAACGATTACTATAATCAGACAGGGAACAATGAAGATAGTAATCAATATCAGGAAGACATTGCCTACTTTGGAAAGTGAATGATTGGATTGCTGTTATATATGAAAAAATATGGTATATTGGATATACTGTGGATGTAATATTATTCATATATATATATAAGCAATATATAATATATAAGCATATATTAGTTTTAAAGTTTTTGTTTTGTTTTACAAAACAGTGCTCTGAAATAAAAGCAATATGAAAAATAAAATAAAATGTAAAAATAATTTGAGAAAAATATTATATTAGACTTTGTAAGTTTTACTGAATGTAAACAAAACTAAACAAATCATAAATACTTATCATGAATACTTAGATATTTATCGGGATCAGAATTAATTGTTAGAATGACGGACAAGAGAAGAATAGTTTTCGTAGTTATCTGGTAGTTTATCTCTCTTAGAGATAAACTACCAGGTAGTTTATCTCTCTTAGAGATAAACTACCAGGTAGTTTATCTCTCTTAGAGATAAACTACCAAACTGAAAAAATTATCTGTTTATTAGATGCTCCTTTTCTAATCAATGGTTGTGGTGATTATTCATTATTTGATGAAGTCTATAACACAGTCATATCACTATTCTTAGAGAAACTTACTGCAGTAGAGTAAAATATATGTGTGATGTGGTGGATAGTTTGTTTTATCTGTGTAAATGACTCTATTTCAGAATGAACAATTAGTTTTTAAATAAAAAAACATTTAAATGTTTGATTTGTTTCATTTAACTATTTTTAAGCTATATAAACATTTAAGCTATTTTTCTTGGTGTTCGATTTTTGCTCAATTTTTAATTCATGTTATATTATCGGTGTTATAAAATCACACGAGTTTTTTTTTTTTATTAATACTTTTAATATTGACATTTGGACATGTTGATATTTTTTCAAAACTTAGCGCCTCTTCCGTATTGGGTCATTTTGTAAGTATACTATAACATTTTTTTAAATTTCAAACCTTAATATATGACTGGGCCTTAGGTATCACTTAACTTTATTTGCATTTTCAGATTCAATACTTACAAATCCTGCAAGAAAAATTGTATGCAACTCTTCGCCGTTAGAAATAACGCCGAATAAAAATTGACAAAATTGAATGTACTTTTGAACTATGATAATTAGCCAACCAAACAGTATCACGCAACTTTTTTATATTTTTTGGAGAAAGCTTTTGAGTTATATCATATTAACTATAAAAGTAATGTGCAACTTCTTGCCTAGTCAAAAGTATGGATTCAAAGGTGGTAAAAGGTGGCAAAAGGTGGCAAAAACTAAATTTCTTGAAAATCTTAAAACTTTAAACTTGGATTCGGAATAAACGAAACATTTTTAGAATTTTTTTTTTCCATAACATGTTTTCTCTATATTCTGATCAAGAAATATTCAATATTCAAGCAATTTGGTGGTTGTCACTTCCACAGTTTCAAGAATTTGCTTAGTTCTTACAAAAAATGGTTCTTAAATATATAAATAAAATAAAGTTAAACTATGCAGATTTACTTCAAAAAAGTATTTTTTTTAGCCAAAATGTTCTCTCAGCTGCAGTTTAACATTGAACCCTTGTGGAAAATGTAAATGCTATCCATCATGCGCTGCGAAAAATCAACGACAGCATATATGTAATTGCACAACAGGTAATATACTACTTTTGAATATGAAATATATATTTTTAATCAAAAATAAATAAATTTTGAAGCGCTGTGTTTCAATGCCTTGAAAGCATGCTTTTTTATTTATTTATTTTTTTTATTTATTATTATTTATTGTTCCATTTATTATTTATTTAATTTTTTAATTTATTATTTTATTTATACATAGCTGCTAGCAGCTAAAATTTACGCAACAAATTCTGTGACGTAATACGCAAATTTCTTAAACAAATTATTTTGATTTTGTAATATTTTTAAATAAAAACATTTTAGCTTTAAATTTAAAAAAATAATGTCACAGCAAAAAAAATATATTCATAAATATAATAAAGTATAAATAAAATTTTTGACTCTTCCTTATTAATTTTCTGAATTAATAAGTTAAAATTTTTTGATGATATGTTTCAGATATATATATATTTCCAATCATCAACATATCCATCCGAATTACCAAACCTCCGTCTCTGCTATAGACTATATATTGACAAATTTATGTTCAGAAATTTAAAAAGCAGGAATCATTAAAACAAATATATTGTATCATTTCACTATCTTTTTCTCTTAATTTATTATCTCGAGATACAAAAACGATTACTTTTAAATAAAATATTATAAATTGTAAACTAATTTTTGTTCGAGCAAAAAAAAAACGTTTTTCCCTTCCAATTTATAAGGTTCTCCACTTAATAACTAAAATTAAATTAAAAAAGTTTTTCGCTGGTGGTAATAGCTCTTTTTTATTTAAATACTTAAGGAATAATCTATTATCTAAATATCATTGCAATAGTTAAAATAAGTCCAGCACCAAGCAAAGGATTAGACGACAGCATACATTAGTGAAACCAATTTTTATTAAAAAAATTTATTGGATTGCTGTTATATATAAAAAATATGGAATATTGAATATACTGTAGATGTAATATTATTCAAAGGATATATCAGTTTTCAAGTTTTTGTTTTGTTTTACAAAACAGTGCTCTGAAATAAAAGCAATATGAATAAAATGTAAAAATATTAGTTTCTGGATTTTTCGCAACTTCATGAAATGAAATTCGAAATAATTTTGGAATTGCAAAAAAAAATCAATAGAGAAAAAAAAGTATTAAAGTATTTCAAATTAATTAAAATTAAATTTTATTATCGGTAAAGTAAAAAAAAATTCAATGAAAACAGTAAAATAAACAAAGCAAATTCAATGAGAAAAATAAAATAATATATAAAAACCTTTTATTTTAATTCTGATTTTTAAAAAAGCTTCTTAGCATAAATTAACATAAATTATCCAATATCGTATCATAAAGTCTTAATCTGAGCGATCAATGCTAGTAGCTAAAAATTTTCGGTAGTTTTTATAACATCACTTTCATTTCTCATGTCTACTCGCATTCTATTTTAATTATTCTCGTCATCAGTTAGATTTTCTTCATCGGATTCAATATTTTCTTCATCGGATTCAATATTTTCTTCATCGGATTCAATATTTTCTTCATCGGATATTTTTTCACTATTATATTGCTCTTCCTCTTCTACAGTTTGCTGAAGTTGGTAATTAAGTTGGTATTTAAGTTGGTATTTTTTTAAATATCTGAAGTTTTGCAATAGCAATTTGAATTGCATGAGCAAAACATAAAATTTGTTCAAAAGGTACCAATCTACCGACTTTTTGCATCGTTGAGGCACCATCAGTCACTATGCACAAAATATCATGATGAATATTTAATTGGCAAGTTTCAAGCTTCTTTTTTAACAACTTTACACAACCCACAGTCGTTAATCGACCATTAATTTAAGACACTCCCAAAACCCAAATATGATCTCCTGATCCATGTACGTCAACATTTATAAAACACCGTTGTTCATTTTTTGCTTTTTAGCACAATAACAAAAAAAATTTGACTTCAAAAAAAGCTAACTATAAAAATCAGAATTTATTCGCAATTCGGTTTCTTTCTATTCCGGAATTTCAAATTTAATGAATATCCCAAGCATATATGTAATAGCAGAATAGTTAATATACTATTTTTGAATATGTATATGTTTAATTAAAAATAAAATATCTTCAAAGCTGCTAAAATATATGCAACGATTTCTGTGACGTAGCAAATTTCTCAAATAAATAATTTGAAAAATTTATTATTCAAATTTTTAAATGGTATTTTTAAGTGAATAAATTATTCACTTAAAAACACCATTTAAAATACCACTTAAAATTATTATTAAGAATTTGAGATTATATTGGTCTGGAAATTAAATCTAAAGTTAAGACTATATAATATATCTCAATTAAAATATATTAAATTATATTACATAAAATCGTGATAGGCCAGCGCGAGTAGATGTCACGTGGTGGTGGGGGGTGCCCATACAAAAAAAAAGGTCCTCATATTTTTTGCCGACTCATTAGTCGACATTTGCCGATTGACAGTCTAAATTTACCAACTAACCTATCTAAAGGGTCTACATTCTAAAAGGGTCACATTTACGTGACCCTTTTAGAATGTAGACCCTTTAGATTTAAAGTGGCGAAAAAACTTTATGAAAATCTTTCATAAAATCATAGTAAGATAGTATTTAAAAGTTTTAATAATATATTTTATTTATTTCACTTACTTTTAAAATATTGTAGATGTTTTAAGACAAAAAAAAAGAAAAAAAAACAGAAATGTTTCGAAGTGTGGATTGCAATAAATAAAGTTAATGATTGGATTTTAACGGTAAATTGCAAATGCATGGCAAGGTAAGCGTTTTAGTCTTATAAATTTTTACAAATCAAGTAAACAATTTATTGCTAGATATTGAATCAAACTATATATTTTTGAAATTACAGGTTGGGCTCAGTGTGGGTTGGGCTACAGTGTGTAGTCACACCGGTGCTTTGTTGTTTAAGCTAGTTGCATGTGCACAACTTGACTTAAGAAAAATATATATTGCACAAACAAATTATGCAGTTGGAAAAAATCTTGTAAACCAGCAGGCCCAGCACCATTAAAAAAAACTAATTTTTTCGATTGAAAAAGCGTGAAACTCTTCCGACTATTAGTGACAATGAAAACTCACAGGATGAAAGAATTTACAGCTTTAATGATCCAATACCAACTTAATTACCAACTTTAGATATTTAAAAAAAAGTTATTTGAATTTAGAAAAATATTTAAGAATGCTGCCATTCTCCAATCTGTAGACATTAAAAATAAAAGAGAAGAAAATAGCAGTGGTACAGATACTGCGGAAGAAAATGACATTTACTCAGAAAATAGTTTGCTGGAACGTTCACTTATTTTACTATATTTGCATGCGGCGATTAATTTTTATGATTTCACTTTAATAATACTTTATTGCGCAGAATCATACGATGAATATAAACTAACTTAGAGTGTTAATATGTACAACAACTTAATTTAAGTTAAAAAAAATCAAAGTGCTAGTAAAATTTAGAAATTGCATAAGATAGGTAGAATAACAGCATCGTTATCAAAAATAGCAAATAACAAAAACATTGGTAAAAATAGCAAATAACAAAAACATTGGTAAGTCATTTATAAATACAGTGATGCAGTACGGTGCAGAATTCATCATAAAAACTACAAACTATGGTAAAAAAAAAGAAACTTTTGCAATAAATTCAAGCAATGAGTCATGAAAACGCATACAAATGTTGTGACAGTAACTGGATTGCATGTCTTTACAAAAATCCATTTCTTTTTGCTTCACCTAATAGCATGGTGTGTTGTGATTGTCATGGTTATTTAGTAGTGGAAATTATGTGCCCATATAAGTATATATATTAAGTGCCCATATAAGTATACAAAAGAGTTAGACAATTTGAAAACAGTTTTGTAATTTCTAGTAAACTTTGATTAAACAATAAAGAAAACACACCATTATTACTATCAAGTGTATCAAGTAATGTATGTTATTAATACTACATAATGTCATTTTTACATTTAGTCTGAAGGTAAAAAAGAAACATAACACATTGTTAATAAATGTTCCGATTAATAGGGTCTGTTGTGAAAAACTGGAAACAAAGTTGACAATAATTTTTTTAAGTTTTTACTACCTGAAACAGTTTCCAGAAAAGATAACCTAAAAATTTTACTTGATCAAATATAGTACATATGCAAACACCCAAATTTCACACAGATGATTGGTTGCGATAGAAAAAATTGCAAGTTGGATGGTTTCATTACAGTTGCGTTGAAATAAAAAATGCCCCAAAAGGTAAAAGGTTCTGCAAGAAATGCATAAAGATAAAATAAAGAATACATTTAGAGTCAGCATGTGTGAATTTCTTGATATGCGCAAAAAAAAAATTTGCTCAGATTCTTGATTAACCTTTGGACCATTCAAACAGGCTGGAGAAGGACAATTTGCTTGTGTGAAGAAAATATTCATCTTTATAGTGTAGATTGAGCAAAGGTTGCCCTAACAGTAGTGTTTAAATTTTATACGTTTATACTAAAAATATCAACTATTTAAAGTGGTCTATTTAAGTAGAGTGTTCATTAAGATTTCAAGTAGTATTTATTTATTTTCGTTTCCGTTTTTTTTTTGTATGAATATAATTATCTACTCTAATTAAAGAACAAACTGTCATTCCAAATGAAAAAAAAAATTAAAATTCTGGTATTCATCATTAAAAAAAAATTAACTTCTGGTATTTATCATTAAATTAATCTACTATTGACTTTTTATACATTTAAAGAAAAAAAGTATAATTAAGTTTTATAGTTTTTTAAAGTATTAAAAATTTGAAATTTTATAGAAGCATAAATTAAACAATTTTTATTGTTTAAAATTTTTTTATTGTTTTGGAAGTGGCGCTCTTCTTTCTTTCATTTTGACTTATTTGTTGTTTTGCTCTTAATAGAAATAATCGAAAGTCCGTTCAGTTTTTCTTGATATATGTTTGATTGTAACTAGTTTTTGAACAACTTTAGTTTGGAAGAAAATATTTTACCCTGAATGACAGTGACTAGAACTGTTAGCAAGATTCTCAAATGCTTTACAAGTATTGAGAAATATTTCTTCAAGATCATGTGTGAATTTAAATGTTAGAATATCTAGTGGATTTTTTTCATAAGTTTTTTGTGACAACAAACAAAGTTCAGTTATCAATTCTTTCCCAGAAATATCCTTTTCGTTTTCGTCGGTTAAAATTTCTTCTAATAAATTACAATTATCTCTCAATCATATATTTACTCATGTCTGAAATATTTGGAATTTTAATTAAAAACTGAAACGAAGACATGGTTGTTCGAAAGTCTTTAAAACGCTTTTTTTTAGATTTGATGACACGGAGTCCTTGTTTTTATTCGGAGTCCGTATTTTTATATATTGTTTTGATTTTATATCAGCATATTAAAGTTTCCTTACGAATTCTTATTAACTTTTATAAGTTTATTGATTTAAAATTGTTTAGCCAACAGTTAGGTAACTTTAAACCAGTAAAAGCACGAACGTATTGAATTACGCTGGGTACGGTAAGTCCTCCGGCATATAAATTATTCAAAAATGTGCAGCGTGTTTATGGAATATATAGTCTATAGCATATATAGCATTTAAAGAATATAAGAGGCGAATCACAGCATATGCGGTAAACAAAACCTGTGGTGTACTGATGCGAAATTATGCTCAGACACAAATATTTGCACACTCAAACACTCAATTTAGTAAAAAATAAAAGAAAGTAGAGGTTATCATTTTTTTTTTCATTTTTAAATTTATTTTTTTTCAAACAACGATTTACAAATAAAGGTAATATTTCAATAAAATATTAAATACAAATACATTTCTTTATTCATAGTAGTTACGAGACCAGAGAACCTGAAAAAGATAAAACCTTATCATCAGTAACCTTTGGTAATAAAACGGAAAATAAAAGTATATTGTTTGAAAAAATTATGTAAAGAATCTTGGTTGGCAATAAGTTCGAATATGCTCATTTAAGTTTACAACTCAGGCTTTTTAAAATGGTTCCATAGCATTGGGCCACGATAAGAAATGACAAAGCTCGTAAGTTTTGATGTTCGGAAAGGTTTTTTAAATCTTCCAGTAGATTGAGTATTGTTTTAATGATTTTGGGAAAATATTTTCGAAGACCTTTGGCGTTTTTTTGACTGATGTTGGAAAATAAATTGTGTATTCACCCTGTTAGGTTTCAAAGTTATTTATTTTAGATTGAAAAAAAGCTGCCAAAATTGAATTCTACTTTGCTATAAGCTAAATATAAAATTTTAAAACCAAAATGTAGATAATTATACCTTTAAGGTAAACATTTGCATGATAAATCATTGTTTTAATATCACGGGGATATAATGGTTTATCACATATTCACATATCATACCCTAAGGTAGAAATTTCTACTTTTTTTTTTTAAGTGTGTATATTTCAAGTATCAAGGAAGTCATTACAGATTAGTCTCAATTAGATATAGTAACCCGTAAAATACGGGTTTAGTTAGTATTTGGTAACAAAAAATAATTGAATAATAACAACGGAATCGAATTTCCATAGTTTTAAAATATAAATACATACACCTAATAATTTGTACCTTTTTAACTTAAGATTTTGATAACTAAAAATACCTTAGAACTTTTATTTTGTTAACTTTAACCATTTGTTTTTGGTAGATATGAACACTTAGTTTACGATTTAAAAGGTAAAAATTATAATTCTATAAAATTATAATTATTATAGCTAGTGGCCTGTTCCGAAAATCCTCACCATATTGTAAAACCTTTCTTGCAAAAAGAACTTGTAAACGGGTTGGTTAACATTCAGGGACAACCAAAGAACATGTAGCTAGCGTTGAACAACCCTGGACATACAAATTACGATTCAGGTAATTAGGACTGGACTATCTACCACATTTACTTAAAAATAGGCCAACGCTTTGAAAGCCTAGAAAGCGATAGAAGTAGATCTTTTATAAAAACAATTTTATTTGGTTAAATAATAAGTTAATTTAAAAAATTTAGCGCAGGAAAGGGAATAACAAAAAAAAAAAAAAAAAAAACGCGAAACAAAAAAACAAATTCTATTTACAAACAAAAATAATTTACAAAAATATGATACAAAAAATACAATATAATACAAAAAATGTATATATAATACATAAATTTAAAAAAATACATCTACAATTAGTATTTTGTAGAATAATAACCCACAAAATACTAATTGTATGTAACACCACCCCTCCCTCCCCCCTTCTTCTATTACGCCGACCACCACTACCTCAATGGAAGAAAGAGTAGTCTTGGCCGCCGTTTCGGACAATCTACATAACTTCCTGTAAAAAAATCCTGTAAAACTTGTGTAAATGGTGAAAGTGGAGGCAAAGCTACCTTACCATTATGGCAACATAAAAAATGTTTCATCTGGAAATTTCTTAGCACCACAGTGCTAACAAATCTGATTCATTTCCTCTAAATAATTATAATCAGAAATAGCATTACTTCTTGCTATAGAATTTATTCGTCCTTGTCTAACAGCTCTTCTTACATTTTGGAAACAATTAACTTTGCCTCGATTACGCCTATTTCTTTCATTTTGGCGACGATTAATTTTTCCTCGATTAAGCCTACTTCTTTCATTTTGGCGACGATTAACATTATCTTGATCAAGCCTATTTCTTTTATTTTGGCAACAATTAACTTCATCAAGCCTATTCATTAAGCCTATTTTTTTCATTTTGTAAATGATTAATTTTATCCCGCTTAAGTCTATTTCTTTCATTTCGTCTACGATTATTTTTAACACGCCTTATAGCACTTACATTATCTTATAAATACATAACTTCCTCTAGCCTATCATCCATTCCAATGTCATCATTATATATATATATATATATATATATATATATATATATATATATATATATATATATATATATATATATATATATATATATATATATATATATATATATATATATATATATATATTTTCTCGAAAAGCTACCAACAAATGATTTATATTTTGATAGTTTCAGAATGTACAAATGTACTATATTCAAAGTCAAAAACAAAATTTTATGGGACTAGATATAAGGTCTTAGGTCACCTTCACGGTAACCGTGAAATGCTGAAAAATTTTGACGCGGATTTTGTAAAATATTTTTTGAAACTTTAAGTACTTTTTAATATCTTAGCCAAAGGTTGTAATTTTCTTTTAAGTTTTGAAGTAGCGAATCTTGTTTTTGATTATCTGAGTTGTGTCTCCTTTATCAATGATATTATAACGTTTAAGCATATATCCAAAAAAAATGGTTT